CGGTAAAGAGAACTAAGCAAACATAATTATTGACCTTTCTGTTTTTGTGTGTGTACAACAGAAACAGATGGATTCATTCTAATGGCTTTTTCCATGGAGGTAAAAAGAGCTTTTTACCTCCATGCTTTTTCCATGTGCAGTGAGTAATTTCCTGTGAAAATGCATAATGCAGTGATCACAATAATGTCATTCTGTTTTCTGTATCAACCAATAGCATTTCTGACAGATGTTGCTCACACACATCTGCAAAACAATACATACCCTGCTTCCCATCCTTTTACAGGGCTCGAAATACTTTTTTTATGTGTACCGTTGTACAACGTTATACATATATTTGCAATAAACTTTCATTATATAAACTCAGTACTCTGAGTAGTGTAGGAAGGCGCATCAGAATTGCCTGCAAATTTCCAATTTTTTACCCACACTAACCTGGATATATTTCCAGGATTTCTAGCCCAGTTTTTATCTATCACCTAGTCTTACTACTGAAACAAATATTTTCCAGTTTGTTCTCCTCCTCAAAAGCTCTTAGGAAAACAAACACAAGACAGAGCTTTCACCAAACAATGTCATGTTTTGAAAATGCCCCTTTACAAACTCTGTATGTTAGCAGGTGGTTTTTGGACTTTAGGACAATCAACTTGCTAAAACTTAGCATTTTCAGGACACAAAAACACCTACCTGCAATCTTTTTTGGAGAAAAATGGTTGGAAAGTGTCAGTTTCATATGTTTACATCTGTACATATTTGTATACAACAGTTTCAAAGAGTTTAAATGGGAGTGGTGGGTCAACCAAGACCCCCTACTCATTTTAGCATTTACCCGATATAGGTCATTGCAGGCTGTATTTTTTTTCAAATAAGTTAATTTGTTATGATATAATTTTAGGCTACTTTTACCTTATATTGATAGTTGAATGAAATGTAAGTGTACAAATTGAATATTCATTTAAATTTACTTTAAATATTTACTATGCAGTAATCTCACTAAGGCCCCTGACACATCTTAAATCTTGCCTGATATAGGTACACATTACTATTAACAGTTGAAATTTCTTTCACTTTTATCATTGTACCTGAATGTTTTTGAAGAAATGAAATGTTACTATATACAAATTTTGGCTTGTTCAATAGAAATTACATTATGGAGCTTTATAAATCAGTAGAATTTAGGCTGAATGAAATAAAGTAGGTTTATGGGATTACTATTAGAGTAAGGTAATTTGATGAATACAAAACTGACCCATATTTTATGTAGGGCATGTCGTATATTCAGAGAGTGGTTAGCTGCAGTGCAAAGGTTATTTGGTTCAACACGGAAGAAAAAAAAGAGAACAAAATCAATAAATTCAGGGAGGGGTCATACTGACTGCCAGATATTGGAACGCCCTAAAACAACTTGAACTTTGTACCATACGTGACGCCTGAAAAGTTTGAAAACAATCTGTCTGACAAGTTCTTCATGTAACAAAAGGTTGGAGTGCCTTGGTGAGTATGAAATGATTTATTAACTTGTAGTTGTACATGATGTATGTGAAAACCTGTCAGTTTTGATAGAAGAGGTTTGTATATGATGAAATGGTCTAGGTAGTACAAAAATGGCAATGGGTCATCTGAAAGTTTGCTCAAATTACATTCGTATTTTTCAGATATTTTTGATGATTTTTGTAGTTTGGGGCAAAGATATTTCTGGCATCAAAGTTGACATATTCTAAGGTCATTCAATAAGAAATCTAATGTAGTTATTAGATAATGCAAGACAATTGCTATCCAAAGATACACTGAAAACAACACCAAAAGAGACCCTGAGAAAAAGCTTGAAAATTGCAGACCTACAATACTGGATATCTCAAATTTTAAGATTACTTCTGTAGAAATTACTAGAATATTTTTAGATCCTGATCTAGACATCAGATTTTCCTCAAAACATTCTCTTGAAGTTATTACAATTTTGTTTCTAAGATCCATACTTCTTGATACCAGGTCCACAATCTATAGTATACCAAGCTTTTCTAAACATTATTTAGCTAAAAGCAAGAAGGAAAGTAATACTGGTAAAACTTATATCCCATGATTTGGAACAAAATAAACCATGGCAGACACCATGATCAGCTGTAATGTTTGATTCCAAAGTTAATCCATGTTGAAATTGGACTGTCGGGCCAGTACAGATAGATGACTGTATAATGGCTGTGAATTAACGTCTATTGATTCTCTCCAAGAGGACTTGAATCAACATTGTATCTTGGTCAGTCTTGTAACTATGGTTACTGAACACTGTGGCTCTGTGTATATTTTGTTGCAACTGCATAAGGCCATACCAGTTGGATTTGTTGGTCTTGGATTGCATGAAATAGTTAAAGCAGGTAGCAGAAAAAACACATGGCTTTAAATGCTACCATATACATAGGAGCTACAAAGTTAACGTACACTATAAACCTGTTTTTGAATTCAAACAATGAATTTTGAACATTTCATCAAATAGCTGCATTGATGAATTAAAAACTAACAACTATGAGTAGGAAAAAAGGAGTTTTTTAATTAGTAGTGTTGGTGCTACATTATGAGAATTTGGCATTGATTCAGAGCCTGAATGTTAACATTACAATGTACATATTTTTATATTAGAAAAAATGAAATGAGCAAATTGGAGAAATCAAATTGGTTTGGCCTTTTTTGAGAGTTAGTCAGAAATGAATTCATCTCTATCTGTTGCATACTACAAAACAATATTGTGGATTGTAGTATCTGCAACAGTTTCTGCTTCTATATGAGTTTTAATGACCACTTTTTTTATCAAAACAACTGCTTCAATGTGCAAAAGGTCAAAAGGACAAAAAGCAAGCCGAGGTCTGGCGTTTTTTCCGTGTTGACTTTTGAATGCTAATCCTAAACAAATCATGTAGAAGTCAAAGTAACTGTCAGCTATGGTACACGTAGGTGCATTCAATGTCTCGGTACCATTGTTGTTGTCACGTTGTTGGGTAGACTATACCAACAGTACAGATTCTGCTAAGGGTATGGCCAAGAGCTTGTTATACAAAATGTAGCAGGTTTTCCATTTTAGTCTATGTTAGCACCCCTATTCAACTTTTGAAATGGAATAGCCTTAAAACTGTTTGTCCTTTTTGCACAGAGCACTGTGCTTTGTGTCCTGCTTTTAAACCCTGTTCAGCCTTTAGAACTAAAAGGTAAAGATTACCAAGCAGCTGTGCATATATACTTAAAAGGTCATGGCTAAGACCAGTTGTACAAAACATAAAGGAAACTGGAAACATTGCAAGTCTACAGTGTCACTTGGTAAACCTACAACCCAACTATGCATGATCCCAGATTTGGTATCGGAGAAGGAGGTTTCTAAAAAAAATTGAACTGACAGTGTGTCAACCCCTTCTCGAATCAATCTCCTTCAAAGTCACAAACAAAATTGGCCCCTGCATTTTTATAAAAAGCTGTAAGGGGGCCAAAATCTATCCTACTTGTTTCTGCGCCAAAGAGGTATCTACTTTTGAAAAGACCATAGCAAGGTTTTGTGTATTTGTACAGACAAAATGTACAACAGATCATTGAACCACGATTGAACATATACAATAACACGTTTTTCCAAAAATAGTGCTAAGAAACAAAGAAATGTTTTCTTCCTGCCCCAGTCCAGTTATAAAAAGGCGATGTTGCATGACAATACAAGAGACCCCAGGTGAATATAAGAGTAAAGAGGTGACATGCGTAAAAGGTTTTCAAACAACTATGGTCACAATGTTGCCACTCCACACACCCTGAGTATATTGGCCGCAGTGCAAAACTAGCACGTCCCGCGTACTTTCCCGCTATGCCGACATGTGCTTTGCTACGCTTCGCTTCCGTTGTGTGTCCCACCACTTGCGGCATGTATGCTGAAAGGATTGGACACGGTTTGTGCAAGTTAGAGATCCTGCTATATTTACATTAAGTGGTTTCCTAGGTAGGCTGTCCTTTTTTTCTAGGAATCCTTGTCTTCTAGGATGATGGTAGGTAAGTGGACAATGTGCTTGAATATTGTAACTCGAATATGAGTTTTCATGAGCATATTGGTTTGACAGCTGGGTGCAGTCTTAAAATAGTTAGTTTGAAACTACTTTGGAAGTTGTGTCTAGTTACCTGAACTAAATATTTGACACGCTTAAAGTAAAAGTACATGAATGCTAACCGTCATGATCCATACTTCCTAAATTCTGATTGGGGCAGGTAAAATTTGTCTGGTGCAGATACTTTCCAATGTTACCTGTACCAGTAAAGGTACATGTAAGCAGGTAAACCAGGATTCGAACCCATAACCCTTTAATCCTAGAGTAAACCACAGTGTTGCAAAATGCATGTTCTTGTGATGTATTGTGATGTACACATGTAAAAGATGAGAGATAACCTAAAGTACTCCAGATACAGATCAGGTAAATGCCATCACTTCATTTCCCATGCAAAGTAAAATGGTTGTTCATTAATCTTTCATGGCGCGGTTTTCCCGTACGCAAGTCTCACGAGATACGTCTCCACCAGACTGACTAAGCTCAGGCTGAAAAATGATAAAATTTAGCAAAAAAAAGGAAGAAGAACAGTTTGGCTACCATAAGGTTTTATTTGCCCACAAATGTTACCTAATTGTTCACCCTATTTTTCCCAAATTTTACTAGTTAGTATCCATGATCCCTTAGGAAGGCCTGATGGAGGCTACTCATGATATACTATCCCACAATTTAGATTTTTGTAATTTTTCTCCAAGCTATTAGTGTCTGCTGACCTAAATAATTTGAAACGTCTGACATAAAAAAAGTGTTATTTGTGTGTCTTGGGGTCATTTTCAATGGATGAAAGTTTGTTGTATTTAACAATATATGCAGATATGTTTGTGTGTTAAGAGATAAGGTGATATAAGAACAACATTGTGTGTTTGGGGATAATAAGCTTATTAAGCCACAATGGCATATTCCAGGGCTTGAAATTAATTTTGAATAAGGCTAGGGCATCTTCTGTGTACGTAAGTGTATAATAATACCTTGAAGTACAAAAATATGATACACAAATATCTGTGTGCACTGATGTACACACATGTTAAAAATAGGTATAAAGCTACAATTTTGGGTGGACAAATGTGCATACATTGTAATCATGTACACAACATATTTCAAGCCCTGCTTTCAATGAATGAATAATGAAATTTCCATGAACTAAAAAGTAATGGTTGGTTTTATTGTTGATAGGATGACTAACCCTGTGATTCAGAGTGTTTTAGTACCACCCATCTTGTGTATAACAGCAAGCAATGTATATGTATCTAGGTATTTAGAATTGTTCTAATTATGTACATGTATACAGTATAAAATGTTATGCAACTGGATAAAAAAGGTTGACCCTGGGTATTTTATGCCCTGAATGATATTCTTAGAATATACATGTAACATTAATTTCAAAGTACAAACTTAAAGCTGCTCTATAGTTTTTCTTCCATTTTAGTGATATTCCTGTAGAGTTTCTTTAATTTTGTTTCAATAGTTTTTCACACAGTTTTGATACAAATTTTCACAAAGAACGAGGTTTGAAGATATTTTTCTGGTTGTATTTTTTCAGGCCATTGAATGATGTTTAAGACCAGTAGGATAGACTTCAGCAGCCTGCCTGACCCCACCCCAGTCTGGGAGCTGGTGGACAACATCGGGGTGGGCACGTATGGAGAGGTCTACAAGGTACAGCACAAGAAAACAGGTATGACGTTTGTTATTTGTTGTTTGTTTCACAAACTTATGCAGGGCTTGAAATACCACCAGCATATGCAGGTATGCAGGTTAGTGCAGGTAACAGAGTATGTATTTCTGATGTCTACCTGCACCTAACCTGTACTGGTCCATGTACTGGGCATATGCAGGTTAGTGCAGGTAAAATTGGAGCTGTACAGGTATTTCTGATGTCTACCTGCACCTAACCTGCACTGGCCCATGTACTGGGTTCTAACACATATACAGGTAATTTTTAATGTTAACTGCACCTGTCCAGTGCATGCAGGTTTGCAGAAAAAAATATTTCGAGCCCTGACTTGTAACTGGTAAGACACTTTACTCCTTTCAAATGTACCTCAAAGTAGCACAGTCCCTTAGCCATATTGTTGAAAAATCCAGCATATAATAGTTTTTTGTCAACTGAGTGATAAATCTTAACCAATTGTTATCATTTTCAGGAGAAATAGCAGCAGCTAAGATAATGGAGGAGGTGACAGATATAGATGAGGAGATCGATGCTGAGTACCAGATCCTGTGTCAGCACTCCAACCACAACAACATCACCCGCTTCTACGGCATGTACTACGCCAAGGGGGAAAGGAACAACTCAGGACAGCTCTGGCTCGTCATGGAGGTACGTTTGTTAAACACATGACTAACAGAGACAGACTTGGAGTCCATCGTGTTCAGGTCATAGTAAGATCCAGCCAACTACAATGGTATGGCCACCTCAAAAGAATCGACATGGGTGGAAGGCCCAAACCCATGAGATTGGCCAAGGAAGGATGGGCATAACACACCAGTTTTATACAGTAGGTATAAGCTGTGTACGACCAGACTGTAAGGTTTGATCCACTCACACTGGGATGGACCCATACTCTTTTTTTGGATAAGTGTGGTGGGATCATTCTCAATATCTGGTTCTCCTAAAACCTACAGCTTTACATCCCATCTGAGAAGATGTCACTGATTAAAGCATATAGGATGAAACTAAGGATGCCTTGGAGAGTAATTGTTAGACAGTTGTCCCTGATTATTCAATCTATCAGAGCCTACAGAATGCATATGTTTCTCTCCTTAGTGTAGACTAGTACTGTTTTATGTTATTAGAAGAAAAGTGTGGTTTATAGTGCTTTTCAATGTCTCCAGTTGTGTACTGGGGGATCAGTAACAGACCTGGTGAGAGGGATGCTGAAGAGGAAGGAGAAAATGGAGGAGGGCGTCATCGCCTACATCCTGAGGGAAGCACTCATGGTGAGCTGCAGTTCATATAGTTGCTGCTAGAGGGGGCTCATGCCAAGGGAAACTTCTTCCATCAGATTCTGTTTTTGTTTTGAAGACGTTCTTCTTGCAGATGTGGTTGAGATTTAACCATTTGATTTGCTATATTGGGTGGAATATTGTGTGAATTTTTTTATTCATTTCGATGCTATTCTGCCATGTAATTCATCTACTCTTGATGCTGGCTAAAATGACCGTTGAAAACATTTTCAGGGTGTGGGTCACCTTCATAAGCACCACATCATGCATCGTGATGTCAAGGGCAGTAATATACTACTCACAGAGGAGGCCAACATTAAACTGGTGGATTTTGGTAAGTTTCAAGGTGTACTTAGCAGTTGGAGCGCACAGAAGAATAGTAATTTTATGTGCTGTCATTGGATTTGAAAATTTTATGTGCTGTCATTGGATTTGAAATAATCACTCACTTGTAAAGTGTTTGCAGAACTTTTACAATGCAAGTCTGTGGTTGACGCGACTTCCATGGTTAGCTGCAGTTCATTGTATTGCTACTAGAGGGAGCAAAACAACTGACTACTGTCTCACTTCTTGCACAGGTGTGTCAGCCCAGGTGTCTCACACCAGAGAACGGAGGAACACGTCAGTCGGCACACCTTACTGGATGGCTCCTGAGGTTTTTACCTTCCCTAAAATTTCTTCTATTTTCTGTTTTACTGACTTTCTAGATGTTGGGTTTCATCAAATGAAAAAAAAGTAGTTCATTTTGATGAACAAATCATTACTTGCAGTAGGAAGTACAATGTATGGGTGGCTGAGTTGTGGGTTTGTGTCTCTTGCTGTCCTAATTGCTTCTGTTACATGGAGGTGGTTTGGATAGTTGATTGAATGCCTGTACATGCCAGTTTTGAGTAAGTTGGCAGTATGTGGAAGACTTCAAGAAGTGGTGTAATACCAGATTGAATTACATACGATCCCCCCTACAGTTTTAGTACATTCACAAAGCCCCTGTGGTGTGTGAATTTGAAGGTCACAAAATAACCAAAATCTCAGATTTCTTGTTTATTGATATTGATATTGTATGGTACACCTAAATTATTAGACATATTAAGATTAATGTCATCAGTAGCTAACCATAGTGTGATATTACAGGTTATCGCCTGTGAGCAGCAGTTGGATTATAACTATGACATGAGGTGTGACACGTGGTCTGTCGGAATCACCGCCATCGAGCTGGCTGACGGAGAGCCGCCATTGGCTGACCTGCATCCAATGAGAGCTCTTTTCAAAATTCCCAGGTTTGTGTCAGAGTCACTTTGACATTTTGTTGGTTACCTGCTTTTAAATCTAAACCATATACTTACAAAGAGGTACAAGATTTACATTGAAGTTTTGTCTATGTAAAGGTGCAGTACTGTACACCATCTCAAGGGGTCACTTTTGTATTGCATAAAATTTCTCAGTACCAGCAGATTCAGACTTGAAATTCATACAACTTGGGCAGAACTTTGACAGATATTTTGAATTGGAGTTCTTGCATTACACTTGAGTTATTGTTGAATTAGTTGAATTGCATTGGGTTGTAGCTTCTAAATTTGTGGAGTTAAATCAAACGTTAATTAACAAATTAATAGATTATATTATGGCATTATTGCTAAAATCATCCTATTATTTCAGAAACCCCCCATCCTCAATGAAGCAGCCAGAAATGTGGTCAACAACTTACAGGGATTTTGTTGCAGGGGCTGTCTGTGTGTTTGTGTGTGTGTGTGTGTGTGTGTGTGTGCTTGTGTGGGCTTCTAAACTAGACCGCTAAGCAGAATTTCCAGTTTCGATGCCTCTTATTTCTGTCTATGTTCATGATTTTTGAGTGGTAGATAGCGTCTTCGGACAAAGAACACATGTTATAGGTTTTGGCCCCCTAGCAGCTTTCTTAAAACTTCAGGGGCAGATTATCAGTATCTCTAAAATCCCCAAGTTTGCCAACTGTGGGCCTTACAGTGAACCAGCCCCATTACATCAGTCCAGTAGAAGATAGATACCATAATTATAGGTACCACTTAAGCTAATGAGTCACCATTTGTCCAATAGCTGACATTGTATCGGCGCCAAGTGCTTGGATTGTGTGGTGTATTTGCTATGCCGATTGTGCTTAACAAAGGCGTAACCCTCTTAATCATACCACTTCCCAAAACAACTGGAAAGCCCTTTTTTTTCTTTTAGTTGAACACATGTTGGCTATTGAATTCTAGGGCGCTAATATGTATAAAGTGTAGTTTAAGAACAATTTTTCTTGGGTTCAACTGTGGGTCGAAGCTTTGTGTTGTTGATTAGTGGAACAATAATGTTGGTGTGACCCAAGGTCAAAAATGACATCATTGCTAACATTGGTGCTAGAGTTATGTAAGGGAAAAACTTAGCGTACGAAAGTGGAAAAATAACCTACCTAGTTTTTATGAAAAAATGATAACTTTTTGAAGTGAAAAGGTGAGTTAGGAATGAAAATTATTCTTGAATCTGTGGTGGTTTTAATTTGACTCTGTCACTGCAATCAACTGTATAACTTGGCATAGAATTTAGCTACTGTTCCCTGTCTGAAAACTTCCGTTTTCAATACTGTAAATGGGGGAGGGTGTTGATAAAATGAGTTATAAGTTGCCTCAAGTATTTTATAGGATTTACATATCAACAGTCAAAATCCTCCAACATACTTAAGTTAGCCCATATTTCATGTAATCTAGCAACAGCAGAATTATAAATCGATCTGCATTTTTTCGAAGATGTAGATTTTTATCATTGTTTGGTAGAAATGTGCTTTTGATTGAAAGGTACATAAAAGTAACAATCTATTACAAATGTACAAATTGTTGCTATGTTTTCTTACCCTCTTTAACTTGAGGTTTCTGTATTGAATATGGCATTGTATCTCCTAAAGTATAGCAAAGAAAAGAAACAGTTAATACATATTAGAGTCATATCAAAATTAGTCAATGTGTTTTTCTACATGTAAAACAATGTATTTTTGAACTGGACTTGTTTGTTAGTTGTTTATCAGTTTTGGAGGTAGTTCTTAATCCTGTGTTCTCGTCAATCTTCATTTACGTTAGTAAAAATGTAATTAATTTTATGTTTCTTTCTTCACAGGTGTTTGGTGAAGGATTTTGAGCTGAGACCGTCGGTAGCGGAGCTACTGAAACATCCATTCTTAACACAGGTAACTATGGCAACACAGACCTGAACTGTAAATGCAGTCACTTCTGCAGACCCTGAGGCTCTGTTTGTGGCAAGAGGGAGGTTTTCATGATCATGTTTGAAGTTTGAGGTTGAAACAATTCTGTAGTACAAAAGAAAAGGAAAACACATATTCACAGTGGGATGAATTTGCAACAAAATGCCATCGTGAAAATAAAACTGTCACAAACATCTCATGATTTAAAGCAGCTAAGGCTGATTCAAATGAAATATCTGTTTTTCCCCAGTTTTAGAAGGCAATAAGTGAAATACATGTAGTAATACACTCAGGTAGATCTAAAAAATGATTCCTACCAATGGAGATATCAAAGTCCAGTTTGAATATTAGATTACTGCACTCCATTTGAACATAAGAATAATCTTAAAATGGTATGATGCCAGGGAGTCTTTGTCTTTTAAAAATGTCTCTTTTGGGTGTCCATTATTTTTCAATGATTCTAAGAAGCAAAAATTGCTTCAAAATCTATTTTTAAATCATACTGAAATAAAGAGGAAACCATGCATATCATAAATATAAATTGACTACTGAACATACACTGTTTGTACACTGTAATAGGTAAGTACATGTAGGTATGACTACTCTAGGAGAATGCCTTCCTATTTTTACATCAGAATCTGTGTCTTGTAAATTAAAACCTGGAAAAAAGTCTTGTGCCTGAAAAAACAAAATTGTCTCTTGAAGCTATTGCTTCTAAGCCAAGCTAAATATCCAGCTCTATGTTTGTGCCATACATGTAGTTGGCTCACTTGACACAATACCCATCTAAGTCATCTAACATGTCATACCCATCTAACATTTGTTACTCCTTCCCTTCTCCCAGCTTCCTTTGTACTAGAGCTGGCCCGGCTTAAGACATGTGCTCAGGTGTAGTGAGTCGTCTTAAGACTTTGTTGTCCCCAGAACCAGGTGTGAAGACTCAGGGACGGGCGATGATGTCATGAAGGGTTGACAAACTTTAAGGTGTCTGCAGAAATTGACACAGCGGTAGAACAAAGATGTCAGCTGACATCATTTGGGCTCTTTTGACCTCATTTGGGCCTTTACAGGTTGAAAGGGTCTTGGTGGGTTTTCTTGACAAATAATTGCAGGCTCTTTGTAGACTCCATATGCGGGCCTAATAGTGAACCAACCCCGTTTATAACATCTAGTATATGTAAGATTCTTCCCCAGGAAAATTTTGAAATCTTGACCTGATGAAATGCTATTTCCTGCATTTTTGGGGGCAAATTTTGCTGGTAGACTAAGCTTAGTTTAATGACATCTCTTTCCATATCTTAAAACACTGATTTTATCTGTCAAAGATGAAAATAATTTGATCTGATGGATTGGGCAAAACTTGCTGATTCTGTCTTAAAGCATGCATTTTTTCCACTTGCTCCAATAAGGCAACAGACAAATATCCAAATATCTTATTTGTACAAAAATGTCCTCTTGGTCGTCTTGACCTGATAGATGAAGGTCATTCAAACATCAATTACTACATCGTAACACGGCGCAAACAGCGAACAACAACGGACAGCTATCAAAGCTGTGTGTTCTGTCATTCAGGCCCTTTGGACCGTCCCTGGTATGTAGTGCCCGATACATTATAAACCTTATCTTCACTGTCACTTCTCGCGTGCGTAAGACTGTGCACAAACTGGACACACCTAGACACAAACAGGCCGTGCAAACAAAGACAGGAACCAACAACCAATGACAGTCTTCTGGAATTCTGCATTATGTATTTAGAAATTCCCTATTTCATAGTAAGAGTCTTAAAGTCATTGAAAATGATAAACTTCGTGGTTTGTAAAGGTTTAAAAAAGCTGTCAACCAAAATGTGCCATTCCTAGGACACCCCCTTCCATAGTACACACTCAGAAATAGTCATTTTTTGTGTTTATAGGAACCAAAAAACCTCCCTGATTTTAACAGATTTAACCACAAAGTATCAGAAGAATTCGATACTTAATATAATTGTCATTTGATTTTGCTCGTGTTCTTTAACTACATGTAAAATTTATTGCTAATAATAGTTTCAAACAGTTTTGATAGTTATCCTATAGAGTTTCCATCAAAGTAATCTCAAGAATAGATTTTGTGGGTTAAAAATGTCTAGACTCTCAATACTTTCTTTATATGTTCAGCAAAGATATAAGCAAAAGTATGTGTCCTGGAAACCCCCATGTTTAGCCTCCATGTTTGGCAGGTGGTTGGTTGCCACACCCGTCCCCATGTATTGATTGGTGCAGTAATGGTTTACCTCCCTACTTCAGCCACTACCTGACCTGTGCTCAATTAGCTCACCCCTGTCACTCAGCTCTACTGGACACTAGAACAGAATGTTCCTGGTCATTTTCTTCTCTTAAATGTCTTAAGTTATCATCGAAAGAAAAATTATGGCTTCTTTACACGTCCACTTTGAGGTAAGAGTTGTAACATTTCGAATTCTTTTGTAAATTTTGTGTTTGTGACTAACATACCTATTGTACCATAACTTAAATGGTAAACTTAAGTTCATTTGTTGTAGGTGGGATTTCTACATTCTTTTATTGTTCTGTACAATTGTTTAGTGTGGAAGTTTTTTTCTAATGTGATGTAAAAGAGTTATGTTATTGTTAGAAATGCAGCTTTCATTGTTGCAATAACTTATTCTTAATTAAGTTCTTTTGTGCTGGGAAACTTGAATAGCTGTGAGTTTTAGTTCTTATCTTTGAGTAAATGTTTGACAGTGTGTTAAGATTTCCACAAAAAGATTAAAATTGAGCACAACATGTTCTTCAAAGATAAAGATATTTTTTGTGTGAATCTAACTGTTTTGAGGATGGAATAAAAAGGTTCAAATCTTGAAAAAAGACTGGGCAGTTAGAAAGGGAAACTAAGCAGCTCAAACTAAGACACATCGAGTCTATAATTCCCTTTTTTTTGTTTTTGTTACAGGTATATTCAGTATTATGATTAGTATTCAGGAATTCATTCATACTCTAAGTCTGTCAGCAAATTTTTGGGACAGTTTTTTTAGGTGGAATAGACAAACATGATTCTACAATATATAGACGGCATCTGTAGTAAAAAAACATTCATGTTTGTGATTGAAAATTTTACTTACAAGTATTTGCTACGGAAGCATATATGCCAAACTCAATGACGTACACAGATGTCAAACTGAAAAGAAACTATGACCTTGTGACACACCGTTTTTTCAGATATGTTGACATAATCGCCATTGTCACAGATTTAACTCAAATATTGAAACTCTATCTCTCACGTCATTTGAATTCAAGAAGCTTCAAACATTGTCGTCTGTTAAATAAAAGTGGGAAGAACCTTACAATGACCTAGTACATTGTGTGATCATATCCACCATTTTGTTTTTGTATTGATAACATTATATGATTGTGAGGACCACCATTTTGTTTTTGTAGATAGCATTATCAGAGGAAGGCAGTTTTATTGTGTGGTGATATATGACTGAATAGGTGCTGTTATCTGTGCAAAGGGCTTTACAAATGTTTCTGGATATTTTCTGACAGAGAATTTTGGTTAAGCCAAGTAGAGTCTGTTTCCTCTGTGTTGGATTAATTTAAAGTTACAACATTGAGAAAGCATCCATTAGAGTAACCTTTAGCATACTGAAGTAGCTGTCTGGCAACCAGTTCTCTATTGGTTATGGTGCTAGGTAGCAGGGAGAAGGTTAAATGGTCAGATACTGTACTGTTCACAAAGCTATCTTATTACTGCTTCATAAAGATACTAACTTGTAGATTTGCATTAGGTAGCCACCTACATTCTTTTCTTTACACTTCACTACACTGAAAACTGCTGAGTCAAGATTCAAGTTTTGAACAAATCCTGGCCGGGGACCACTGCAAATTTGCCTTGAGTTTGCAATGTCGACAGGGTCTCTAACCAGTGCACTCACTTTTATGTGAGTCATTGCAAAGTGTTTTTCTGGTACTTAATTGGTGTTTGCTGTCTTTAAGTCTATGTAACATACCATTGAACAGATCAAAAAGGTGGCAAGGTGGTCTTACATGCAGGGGTAGGGTTATTGACTTGGAATCTAAAGGTTCTGGGTTCGAATCCCTGGCAGGCCCCAATGTTGTGTCCTTGGGAAAGGCACTTAAAGTTTACACCTATTTCCTCACTTGACTCAGGTGAAAACTATTAGTGATCATGCTTAATGCTTTAAACATGTGTCCTTTTTTGTCTGTTTGTACTCTTAAGATACTTTTCAACTCATGCTTAACTTGGTACATAATGTGTCTTTCTGGCTGACCTGAAGTGAAATAAGATGATACTTTGTTGCTTTTGTGTACTTCACTTAAAACATGTGTTGAAAGCTTGAAGTGTGCTCTTCTTAGTGTATTTCTTTAAGACGTAACCTAATCCTTAAGTTGACTTTGCAAGTCAGTACATGGGTCAGTGACACAAGGACAATATTCCTTTAAGTAATTCAACTGAAGCATCTATTCTGTCTTAAGCCCCTGTGACGTCTTTAAGTTCTCCTTAATCCTATACAAGCTCAATTATCTGAGAACAGAACAAATTTGAAAATGGGGAGTAAAGCTTTGTACATAATACCTGTACATGTAAAATTTTTTAGGTACAGGTCCAAACCTGAACATCTACCTGTACCTGAGCAAAATAAAACACTAGACTAGTGACACCATGTTTTACACTCAAGATAGGTGAATTGATTTCCATTTCCAATATATGGCAGACATTCTAATAGGATAGCCAAGATACAAGTGATTGAATTATTCAATGTCCAAATCCCTATTATTTCATTATTTAGGATTCTTTAGCATCTTGACAGGGAGAAAAATAGAAGTTTTGTATTCAAAAGTTTTTCACTTTTTCTGTAGTTTTTCTGTAGCAGGAAACAATAGCAGGAAGCTGTCTACACATTGTTCTTTTTGTTACCTGATAAAGAAGTCAACATGCTGACATTTATAGCTCTTCTCTTTTATGTCAAAATAGAAAATGATTAACTACTTGATGCACTAAATAAATAAGGAAACACTTGTAAGATTTCTTGAGATAACAATGATTTCAGTTAAAGCTTTCTTGATCAATAGTTTGATGTGTACAGATACATAACTACAGTAAGAGTAAATATTACATCTTTGATAAAATTAAGAGCAGTTCAATATTTGTTCATTTCTGATCTGAGGGATTGCAGCCCGTAGTAGTCGCGTGCTAGTCAGGTGAAGGACAACTGGCTGGGATTCGAACTCATATCCATCTGGTTCAAAAGCAAAGTCACAAACTCTAGTCTGAAACTACAGTACTCTATACAAGTCCGTCATGGAAAAGGTTTTCCTTCCCTTAGTAATTTAGCTCACTGCCTCTACAGTAAAAAAAATGCCTCATCTTTTTCTTATCAATTTGTGTTGGAATGTCAGTATAGGAATATATTATACTACAGACTGACAGGAAGGTCAAATTGGAGGTCAAAATGGTCCTGCACGCTGGAAGGAAGTACAGTGGAGGAACACAATCATAAACAAAAAATGAATAAAACAAAACATTTTACAAAAATACTTGACTGTGTTGAAGTGACTTCATTGAACTTTGAAATCTTTGATTTCTTGTTGCTGAATTAATTAAAAGTTTTTGTTTGTACTTCTGTAGATCGGAGATGACACGTCTGTGGTTCGTAAGCAGCTGTTAGACCAGATGGAGATCAACGTTCGTCTGGGGAAGGTCCAGCCTCACGTACCTGTCACCACAAAGTAAGCCTCGAGTCTTCATTTCCTATGATCCTAAACTAACCAATCAACTAACCAAGATGTGATGCAGAAATGTGTTTGAAAGATGGATTAAAACTTTGGTTTTGTAGATAATGCATGTCTGTGATTAGATGCAAAATTGACCATAAAAACATCATGCAAAGTCTTAGACGGTAATATTCTTGGTAGAGCATTGTCATAGTACTGTGACAGATTCTGAAGCAAACCTGGTTTTTGATTTTTAGTATTAAGACAGTATAATTCCAAATCTATGAACATGACCCAAGCATATGAAGCTATGAAGATAGACATTTTATAACAAGTAGAATACTTTCCAACAGCATTTAACATTTGAGTGACAGAAAACTTGTAATGAGTATGTTATTTGCCATGATATCTGTGTGTATCACTATGTACACTGTCCAGGCAAGGTGTTACATTTGTTCCACCTTCAACACACACACTTATCATGTTGTCCAGGCTTTAATTGTCTTGTCCTGCATGTATGTTCAAAAGAATTGAAGTGAGGATTTTGATAAGAGAAGTAGAAGGTAAATATATATTTTGACTTCACTGAGTACTGACCAATATTAGTCATTCTTGATAAAAAGTCTTTAGAAAGTGACAACAAGTTTTTGTCAGCTTTGTGAAATTTGGAAGAAATGACAGGGAGAAACGAAATTGAATTGAAGACTTGACTTTTGAATGCAAATTGTGTTTCCCGTTGTTTGTTTGTGTGTTGATTGTTGCTCACGGTTCTATGTGTGTTCCACCCCCCTCCCCCTCTCATTGCTACACAATCATGGATAAGGCGCTTGGCTTGTGATACCTGCAGGTAGATATGTGTAACGATGATACATTTAATGATGGCTGTTTTAGGGCTTCTACAGTGTGTAAAATGCATTTAGCGTTGCAGTGGTAAGCGGTATAAAAATGTTCTATTAAGTACTTGAAACTATTAAGTACAGTTAGTGTAGAAATATAAAATACATATTTGTGGTATTATGATTTAATGGCTAGAGCTACTGCAAAAATTTGAAAATTAAAAACCTACACCACAAACATTTAAAAATTTACAGTAACTAGAGGGGGAAGTCTACTTGACCATGGCATAATATACTGAGATAAGTAACAATTATACAATGTAAGTAGTACACTGAATCTGTACTCTAACTTATAAACCAGTTGCATTATTTGTGAAACTACATTGTAGCCTAAGAATACATTCAGCTTCCTCAATGTGATTTTAGAAATGCAATAATGGCTTGATAAAAGCATTATCTTACAGGTGTTCAGTGCTCGTTATTGCTCACTTATCAAAGTTACTACATTAAAAATGCCCAAACCAAGGCCATCTTTTCAATCTACTGTAGTCCTGTGCTAAATACAAACACCCTTTGTCACGTTCCTGCACTAGAAAAAGAAAATGATGCGCCCAGATGAAAGTTAACCGCTCGGCAGTATTACCACTGGTTAAACAACACAAGGTTCTGTGTTTAACCAGGTGGGAGTTGTTAAGTTAATAGGTTTAAGATGAAGTACTGATGTTTCTGAAATGTTTTTCCACCTGTCCAGGCACGGCCTTTTCAAGTCCTGCCGCAGAAAGACCCGAATGTACTTTGTGGATGATCTGGCAACATTGGAAGCCTTAGATGAGGTAAGAATATCAAGCATATGATGATAAGAAGTATTGTGTGAGTATAGTTTGATTACATTGTGCTCTTGAATGCAATAAAAAAAGCTTGTTGGAATCCAAGTTACTTTAAAGTGGTTGGCCTATCATGGTCATAAATTTCACAGACTGACAAGCCTTAGCTTGTTTCAAGACCCTGTCAAGCTTTTGCTCCTCTCTCTTGAAAATACAGTACATTACGCCTTTAGCAAACCATCAGTACTGAAATGTATCTTACAGTAGCATTTCAGTAATTGCCAGTAGCATGACAGTGCTGTCAGTAAGAGATCAGTTAGAATGACTTTTACAAAGCATCAGTTGCATTATAGTGATGACACTTAAGCTGCTGTATTGAAATGTTACTGAAATGAGACTGACAGTAACTGATGAGTTACTGACAGTCACATATCAGTGCTGTTTGTTTGCTAAGGGCTAGCAGTCACTTTTGCATTTCAGCTACCTGGCCATTGTGGTCAGTAATTGTCAGTCCCTTGAATTTTTGCCACTTACCTAATTATTGAGAATTTTGGAAGTAACCTTCTTTTTAAACTCAGATTTTTAACATTTGTTTCTTCAATAATAGCATAAGTTCCTGTCCAAGTCTGAATGTCCTGTCTTCCTGTTGTCTGTAGTCTGTCTCATCCTGTTGTTTTGTCCTCTATGCTGGACTCTCGTAGCTCAAGTCCCTTACAAACTCCTCTTGGACTCGGCAAGCAGAGGTTGGTTGGACCACCCCCTCACCAACCCAAACCTCCATGTCACAACAATTACACAATTACACCCATATATGTTCTGACAACCCTAACTTTATGTTAGATCTTAGGGGTGTCAGAATATAAGGCTGTCTACATGACAACATATTGTCTCACTTATATTTGACCACCACTCAGTTCAAGATGCTTGTAAAATGATTGTTTCCTATGCATTATTCTTCATTCCACTGTCCTGTGCCATATTTTCGTTATCTGTTATCGTATTGTGTATATAGGGGTATATAAACTTCTGATAACACACTTGCTTTCTCAAAAAAGGTGTACCATTCATGGTGTAATATTTGTGACCTTTTGTGGCATTTTGATGGTGTTTTGCCTGCTTTTAGCACTTTAAAACAAGGTGTGTAAGACTGTTGATGGTTCCACATGCACATACATGTGTAATACATGCACGTGCACGTGTTTTCATGCCTGTATAAATAATACAGCACAAGCATGTGGCTAATAATGATATTCATGTATTTTCTATATGGATGTTTCCCACCCCACACTGGAATGCCCACCCCTCTGTTACATAATGATCTAACAGAGTTTGTGTTTGTAGGATATCATAGTGGAACACCTGCACCAACGCTACAAGAGAGAACAGATCTACACTTACGTTGGAGACATTCTCATCGCTGTCAACCCTTTCCAGGACCTGGGCATGTACACTGATGAGGTGGGAGGGACTTCTCATGAATCCACCTGTCAATCAATCAATTCATCAGCCAATCAACAATCACCTCAGATAACCCTATTAGCCTGAAATGAACTGAACCTAACTGATTAGCCTTTCCTGTATTTTTTTATATAATTATATAATTTACATATTTTATTGGAAAGAAGCAAAGCCTCATAATGTTTCCTGTAGAAATTAATTTGTTTTTTTTTCTTCCAGTACTCTGAGGTGTATCGAGGAGCAGCCAAGCAGGACAATCCTCCCCACATCTTTGCTATAGCAGACGCAGCCTACCAGGCCATGGTACATCACAAACACAACCAGGTAAGGGTCTGCAACTTTAACCTTTTTCCTGCTGGGGTAGCATTGTGGCAAGGAGAAGGTTAAAACAAATGAAATTTGTTGAAAATAAGTATAAATTTACTACAGCTTTGTATTGTGTTTTCTATACATTTCCCTTATTACTATTAGAGCTGTAATGTTGCTTGCTGCTGGACCTCTCTGTAGTTGATACTGTAGTTGTTAGATATGAGAAAAATGGTAGCCAGTGCATGGGTGGGAAAGATTGACAGGCAGCATGATAGGTCAAAAGGACAGAAACAGGAAATGGGGTGAACTCGATAGTCACGGAACCCAAAAAAAATGAAAGTCTAAAATCTCTCATTTCTTGTTACCAATTGCTGATATGTTGCATGTCACTAGAACAAACTACTTGTTGAACTACCATGTATCTACTATTGGTTTAGTTTCTACTTCCACCTTTCTTTGAACCATCCCTCCTTCCCTTCCTTGCTGCTTGTACCTAAGCTCATGGCAAATAGCGTACAGGACCGACCGTGGCACGGGATGGGGCGCAGACACGGAACACAACCCAATCATCACGTACGGATCCTCTATAGTAGCTTGGCATTTTCACATCTTGCTTTTACACTTCATGCACATGCAGTGTGTTTCTACCTTCAAACTGTTGAAGCTTTGAAAATGGTTAGCTTATTATATGTATAATGCCTTTTGTCTAATGCCCTGTCACACATTCAAGAGACATGACTTTTCTACTACCCTACCAAGGTTGACGCAAACATGCATTCTCTGTTGCTCATCCTCAATATATGACTATAAGAGCATGTCATCTTTCTTACTGCATAAATCTCTTACTCATATGTATACTTTTATAATGTATAAATTGTGTTACGTTTATGAAAAATACATCCAGGCCATCTTACTGAAAGCGAGCATTTGTAATCTTAAGAATGGCTATAATCTTAGCTTTATTAAAGATAAAAAGTTGTATTAAACTGTGTTTAGACTAAACTATGTGTGTGTTTTTGCAGTGCCTTGTGATCAGTGGTGAGAGTGGTGCAGGGAAGACAGTCAGTGCCAACTTACTGGTGCAACAACTCACACAGCTCGGAAAGGTAACTAGAATGAATGTACAGCATGAAGAATCAAACTATCTTTGTAGCCAATAGGAAATGTATGCATCTTTGAACAAAGTAACTGAAATTTTTCACTACCCCCTGCCCCCCCCCTCAGCCACCTGTACATAGCAACATAAAGAAATGTATGGAGGTCTCACAGAAACTTTTAAAGCAATTGAAGACAGCACTAACTACAAATATCTTACTGCCCCCCTCCCCCTTCTGCCTCCCCATATATCAGGCCAGTAACAGAACCTCCCCTTCTGCTACCTGTTCATAAAGAAATGTATAGATGCCTTACAGGAACTTATAGAGTAATTAAAGATAGGTGTCTGCCTTTTTAGCAGGATTAAAATACATTAATGCATGCATATTTGAACAAACTAAGTTACTAACTACAAATTTTTTACTGCCCCCCTCCCCCTTCTGCCTCCCCATATATCAGGCCAGTAACAGAGCCCTGGAGAGAAAGGTACTACAGGTTAACCCACTTCTCGAGGCTTTCGGCAACGCGCAAACTGCCATCAACGACAACTCCTCACGCTTTGGCAAGTACCTGGAGATGATTTTCACGGGCGCGGGGGCCGTCACAGGAGCGCAGCTGTCGGAGTACCTGCTGGAGAAGTCAAGAGTCGTGAGCCAGGCGCCGTAAGTCATGTGTGCTTCTGTGTGGTCTTGAAATATCCCTGAATATACAAAAAAAAAATTTAATTTTTCAGTCCCAAGGAAAAATTGTGCGACTAGACTGACTCTGAGGAAAAAATACTTCTCTGAGGAAAAAATACTTCTCTGAGGAAAAAAAATATTTTAGTATTTTGAGGGAAAATATGTAAGTATTGTGAAGAAAAAATACATGTAAGTAAGTATTGTGAGGAAAAACATGTAATATTGTGAAGAAAAAATACATGTACGTAAGTATTCTGAGGAAAAATTTGTAAGTGTTGTAAATAAAAAAATGTGTAACTGAGGAACAAAAGAATGTTTAGCATAAATGCTGGATCATGCTATTTCTATTGGACAATTTCTATGCTGAAGTTTATATGTCAAAACAGAAAGATGGTCAGGAATTCTACTTGAAAGTATACCAGCAAACCAAGACAATACATTAAATGTGAAACATGTATCTATTTTTGTTACAGGGGAGAGAGCAACTTCCATATTTTCTACTACATCTTTGCTGGACTGGCCAGAAAGGATGGTTATCTGTTAGAGCCAACAAATACATACAGGTATGATATGGAGACAGTAGAGATGCCTGGATGTAGATGGTGTTCAGTACAGATGTGTTTGCCTGTGTGTAGATGGTGTTCAGCACCAAGGACAGGTGTGTTTGCCTGTGTGTGGATAGTGTTCAGCACCAAGGACAGGTTTGTTTGCCTTTGTGTGGATGGTGTTCAGCACCAAGGACAGGCATGCTTGACTGTGTGTGGATGGTGTTCAGCACCAAGGACAGGTGTGATTTCATGTATGTAGAAGGTGTTCAACACCAAGGATAGCTATATCTAATAATCTACTTGAAAGGTGAAAACATTGGAATAAGAATTTTTGTCCCCTGTATTTTCAGGTACCTGTCCAATGATGTCGGCAGTATGGCAGCCATAGCACAGGACCCAAACAACAGGGAACGTTTTGATGCCATCCATGAATGTCTAGAAACCATTGGATTCAGTGGAGAGGTATACATTTGGTTGTAATCATTGTCAAAGGGAATGCTGTTTAGATACATATTAGCACAGTTTTGTCAGCATTTCATACTTGAAGTGTTTGAAATAGCCCCAGAACAAGTTTTGCCACCCAGAAATTGCACTAGATATCTTTAAAGGTTGATTCTCTCTGTGTTACAGGAGATCCACTCTGTGTACAGCATCTTGGCAGGAATTCTACATGTGGGGAACATAGAGTTTGCCAACGCTGACTACGAACACACAACAGCCAACAGTTATGTGGTCAACCCAAAGACACTCAACAAGGGTGAGTTAGGGTGGTCAAAAAATAATATTCTGTTGAAAATGTGCTGTAAATATTCTGTCTTAAACATGAAAAATCAAAACCTCTGTATAGGGAATTGATTAACACCAAAAGTATAAATTTGATTAGGTTGTCCCTACTCATACATGTTTTGCTAGGCTTCCCATACATAAGCAAGATTATTCTTTTTCTTTCTCTTTCCAATTCTGTTTACTGTTGGATCTACATTGTGCATGCAACAAGCAAGAAGCAGAGAGCAAAGCTTGACGGTTTTCCCCCTTCACAATTTCAGCTTCCACCCTTCTCGCGGTGAACCCTGAGGAACTCCGTGACGCGCTGACGACCCACAGCGTGGTGGCCCGCGGCGAGACCATCGTCAGGTACAACACCGTGGACGAGGCGAAGGACGTGAGAGACGCCATGGCTAAGGCCCTGTACGGACGACTGTTCGACTGGATCGTAAACAAGATCAACACACTGCTGAGGCCTAATAAGGACAACGGGTAGGGAAAACTACTGTAAAGTCATTATTTTCACAGGAGCTTAATTTTATCGTAGAAGGGGGAAGGAGGTTTTTGAAATCTTGACCCTCTGAAACTCTAATTCCAGCATTTTGAGGGGCAAATTTTGCTGGTAGACTAAGCTTAGTTTGATGACATCTCTTTCCATATCTTTACACACAGGTTTTCTGTCAAAGATGACAGGTTGGGCAAAAATTTGGTCTGTCATAAGTGGCAAAATTCTGTCAAATTATGGAAAAATGAATGCTGGCTAGAACACTGTATGAAGCTATGAACAAGCTTGCAAGTCTTGCAAAAGGTAAACCATCTTGTTGCATAGATATGATTTTTTATTCTTCTATTGTTTTGCACTATTGCAGTGTGGAGACTTGTGTCATCGGCATTCTCGACATTTTTGGGTTCGAGAACTTCAAAAGGAATTCATTTGAACAACTGTGCATCAACATTGCCAACGAGCAGCTGCAGTACTACTTCAACCAGCACATCTTTGCCTGGGAGCAGGTGGGTGTTTCTGAAATTTCCTGCAGTACTGTACTGGATCAATAGAGGGCACTGCTGCATTGATCTGTGACCTGAAAGAAGTACCTGTAATGCAATGTTTTGTGAACAGTGAATACTGTAATAGAATATCTCTATTTCGTATCTCAGTGATGCTTGAAATAAGGATTTTGTTTTTTCATAGAAACTGAATTAGCCAGCAGGAATTGGGTTGACATGGGGGAATTCAGGAAGGATTGCATTCTTCCCGGAAGTCTGAAATCTCTGATTTCTTGTTTCAGAGATGTACTAATTAACATGTTATATTTTATAACCTTTCTCCATATTTTTCCCCAGGCTGAGTACAAACAGGAGGGAATCGAGGCCAGCGCCGTCATGTACGAGGACAACCGGCCGCTGCTGAACATGTTTCTGGGGAAACCGCTGGGCATGCTCGCGCTATTGGACGAGGAGTCCCGCTTTCCACAAGCTTCTGACCAATCACTGGTTGGTAAGTAATAAAGAGTTTCTATATTGATTCCTAAGGTACAGAAGGCAATGTTTTTCAAGGAATGTTTTCTATTCCCCATTACCAGTTTTCTATCTCAATTACTTGATCCCCCTTGTTTTAGTTGTTCAACTCAGCTTCAGTGCTCAAATTGTCATTTTATTTCACAATTAAATCCATTAGCTTGTTTGTTTAATTGTAACCCTAGTATAATTGTTGTTTTTTTCCTTTTTCATCAGAAAAGTTCAACAAACACATCAGTAGCCAGTACCACTGGACACCTAAAGGATCAGGTCTGGTGTTTGGGGTGCAGCACTATGCAGGGAAGGTAAGCAAACGTTGCTGGTAAGCTAAGGTTAGCTTAAGGACCTCTCTTTATGTGCTGATTTTTGTATGTCAAAAATGATGGATAGGGCACAATTTTGAGTTTTTGAGTAGCAAGAAAGACAGATGCTGGCTAGAACTAGCCTGGCTAGAACTAGCCTGGGTGCCATCCTTCGTAGTTTCCTCTGGCTCCCTAATGTCGCTGGCTACCAGTACCACATTAGGGAGCCATCAGAAACTATGTAGGATGGCACCCAGACTGGGCTAGAATCCTAAGTAAGAGTATGTCTTTTTGTCAGGTTGTGTATGATGCTAAGGACTTCCTGGAGAAGAACCGTGACTACCTGGCGCCCGATGTCGTCCTGCTGCTCCGACAGTCGGAGAGGAAACTCATCCGCTCGCTCTTCCTCAACCCTCTCACTAAGACAGGTGGGCCTTCTCATACTGTAAATGCACTTAACTTTGCAATCGTTTTAGTTTGGGGTTTGGGAGTAAGTTTAGTTTAGGTTTTGGCAGTATTTCAAATTTGCAGTTGGAACAATTCTGTAGTACAGTTTGTGGTGTTCTGAATTTCTGGTGGCAAGGTCACTGTGAAAATAAAACCACCACAAAAATTTCATCCAGAAAATTTAGCTGCCGTTTTTCCCTCCCTGCAGGTAACCTGGCAAACACCAGGGGGAGCAACGGTACCTCAGGCCAGCCTCGAGTCAGCCACGTCAGGATCAGGCCGATCAACGCTTCCAATAGCAAGGTAGGATTTTAATTTTATTTCATAAAAAAAAAAGACTTGTAATGGAGTTGCTACCACAAATGTTGTGCTATTATTAGCAGTATTCTTGTCATTGTCTTAGCATAAATTTCACTGACAGGGGTTTATGCTATACATATGAGCTGCTGTGAAAAATCTGAAACCTTGTCCTGTTACAGAACAACACAACAGAACTGCTGAGTCCAGAAGACAGTGTGGGAAGGACACAACAGACTGTAGCACTGTACTTCAGGGTAAGGGATAAGTTTTACTTTCTTTGTGTTACAGTTGATTTCAAAGTTGTTAGGGAACCATATTTTTTATCTTTTAAAAGTTTACTGATGCTGAAAGTTGATTTGCTGGCAGTTGTATCTCGAACAGTCTTTGTTTCTGTATAAACTATAAAACCAAGAAGGTATGAAGGATAAAACACAGTACTGATGTGAGATCTTTCCTCCTGTTAACTGACAGTACTCCCTGATGGACTTACTGCAGAAGATGGAGACAGGAATGCCCATGTTTGTCAGGTGGGTGGATTTAGACATCAATGATAAGTGATCAATGATAAAGTTAACCTTAAAAGTGCCAAGTAAATTAGCATGTGTATAAGAAGTTAGGCTGCATATTTTAATATGGCTGGCTTATCTAATTGCAGTAATTTTGATAACAATAAATGCTTTATCTGGTTATAAATTATTGAGTACACATATACTATAATTATGTGTCCCCAAGGTGCCTAACGTGTGGAAATACATGTGATAACAAACTGAGCTAAAACAAACAAACACACTTAAAACATACCGCACATTTTACGGAGGTAACAATGTTTGAGTCTGATTTTGTGTTTTCTCCTTTATTCAGGTGTATCAAGCCCAACAATGACAAGATTCCGGGGCAGTTTGATATTGAGAAGGTCTTGATACAGCTGAGGTACACGGGAGTGTTGGAGACCACACGGATACGCAGGGAGGGGTACTCTCATCGTATCGCCTTCCAGGACTTTGTTAGAAGGTCTGTAACAGCAATACTTAAATGTCTGTGATAGTTTTACTTTTACGTTTTTGTTGTTCACCAGCATATCTAAACTGTGCATACCTGTAGTGCTGCACTAGAGATCTCGCAAACACACAGCTTTTCAAAGTGGCAGATATATGGATAAATGTTTAAAATGATTACATGAAAAAGGAACATTTAGAACTTGACTGCAAAATACAATTCTTAAAGGTTCTTGAGTTTTGTAATCATTTGAAACCTATATTTATGAAAGAATGTAATCAGAGAAAGTGTTTTATGTAATAAGATGCTTCACTAATGTCCATTCAACAGAGTCTAAAAAGTATTGTTTTAGTCCCTTTATACTTTTTAGTCCCTTTCACTGCTATGTGTAAAGGTCACTGTTCTAGTCAGCAGTGTAGCAGTGCCCTCTATTGACCTTAGAAAGTACTGCAGATAAAGATTAGAATTTGTTTTCCCCCTCACAGGTATGCTATGGTGGCCTACAGCCCTGGTAAGGAGGTTCCCCCCAGTAAGCAGACGTGTCAGCAGATTCTACAGAACTGTCGGATGGAGAACTGGAGACTGGGCAAGACCAAGGTACACACAGTCTTATTGTTTAACCTTTAGCCTGCTAAAGTAGCTGTTTGGCACCAACTTTGTATTGGTTATGGGGTTAGGCAGCAAGGAGAAGGTTAAGGTATGTGGGAAGTTGTCAAAAACTGTGTTGGAAGAAAAATATTAATCACTTTTCAACATGTACAATATTATGTTTTCTGCCTTATTTATTTGAAAAAATTGTTATATTGATAATGGATCAGTATATAACTATAAGTTTGAAAGAAAAGTTGAATAAAAATAAAAATAGTACAGATATGGTCTTTACTGTTTTACACTTTTAAGATTTTATTTTTTCATTTGTTCTGGCAGGTGTTTCTGAAGTACTACCACGTGGAACAGCTGACGAGGCAGGTGGAACAGGTGCACCACCGGATCGTGCTGGTGCAGGCACAGGTGCGCAGGTGGCTCCACATGCGCAGGTACAGGAGATACCGTCAGCAGAAGAACAGCAGTGTGCTTCTGCTACAGAGAGGTCAGTACTTACCCCCAGTAGTATTATGTTTACTTCAAATCTGTTTAGGACTAGTAGTCCATGTACATTTGTAGTGTTGAATGGCAGAGCTGCTTTCAATCCAACAGTACATTCTTGGACTTCCCAAAGTTTCCCCCACGTAGCTCTATTCTTTTCATTGCTGGTATGTATCTTTCTTAGAAGTAAGATTAAGATATTCTTGTTCTTTCAGTTGTTCGTGGATGGCTGGTGAGAAAGAAATATCAGACTACAGTCAGACAGAGGCAGACTGCTGCAGTCACTATACAAAAAGGTAGGATTACAGCTGTCTAAAAACAGTCGCATGTGCAGTGACATCTTTTAAAGATTTGAGGCAAAGTCTTCATTTAAGTCATCCCAAGTATGTAAATGAGATATATGTAAATCTCCTATATCTTGACAATATTACAGCATACAAAGGCTACAGAGCCAGGAGAAGATACACGTCAGAGCTGACCCAGAGGAAGCACTCTGCTGTGGTCCTACAGTCTATCATACGGGGGTTCCTGGCCAGGAAACAGCTACAGAGACAGAGGGCAGAGTCTGTGTGGAAGAAGATTATGGACAGGTAACAATTCTGAGTGGGGAATTTGGGATGGCTGTACATTCATGTTACAGGGGTTTTTCTAGTTGAGAATTTTTTTTTAAATTTGAGAACCAACAAATGAAATCGTCTTGAGCTTATGATGAGAATCTGAGAAGGGATGCAAACGTACATTTGGCACAAGAAATTCCATTAAATCAATCTTAAGCTCCTGCAATTCAGACCTTAGCTTTGGCAAGAAAAGCACATTTTTCCCTGCCACTAACACAAAAATGCAGGGCATATAGAAAGTATGTTGCGCTAAAGCTGATATAAAATGTATCTGACATGCTGTGTTTGTCCAGGAGAGAGTATGCTGTGTTGATTATGCAGAAGACAGTGCGCATGTGGCTGTCCAAACGTCAGTACCAACAACTCATGCAGCAGAACGGACGTAAGGACATACAGAGGATATACTTCATGCAACAGGTGAGACTAACGTCAACTTTAGCCTGGATGCTATAGCACACTAGGCCCAAAGTTGGCCTAACTGGTAGTATAATTTCTTGGGGGCATGTTGGCCCTGGGAATGAAAAACTGTGGGTTAACTATAGGTATCTTAGGTTAACAAAGGTTAACTAGGTGTAACTAAGGTTAACTATGGGTAACAAAGTTAACTGTGTTTAACAGTGTGCATCTGCAGTATGTAACTGACAATCCCTGCATATGTTCCCCACAGGTAGAAGAGTACGGACAGCAGGCCATGGCAAACCAGCAGCGGTTAAACTCTCCCGTCTTCCAGGACGACATCAGCGAGCAGCGGCTGCGGACAGAGTCTGATGTTTCAGGTGAGAAGCTTTTCAGGGTTCTACACATGTGACGTTACAGGTGTATTTATGGTATATTTGTGTGAAAAGTCCTATTATTATGGAGAGCTGCTACAGTCAACTTTTAGAGAAAGAAACTTAAGAATTACCATGGTTGGTCATCTATAAATTTCGTTACCTAGAAAATCTCCATCTAGAAAGTTGTCACTCAATGTTCTAAAATAGGTCCCGAAAGACTGCAAGAACTACTATTAAAAATTGAACCAAAGGAAAAACTTAAAGCAAAAGTTTGATCAGTCTGTCATAAGAATCACTGTTGAAAAGTGTATGTCTGATTGTAGGTGATAAGTGTTTGCATCACAGTTTCTCTAAATCTGTCTGTTTTCTTGACAGAACGTCTTCCATTGGAGCGCAGCCGACATGTGAAGAGAGGTGGAGCGGCGGTCAAGTCTCCCTGGTCACTCCAGGACGTGGCGTACTACGAAAACGTCACCTCAGAGAACGACGGACACAACTACAGGCGGAAAATGTCCAAAACAGGGTAAGTTCTTCTCAAAAAAGAATTCACAGATTTCGTACCTCCATTAAAATATTTAAGAGTACAGTTGTAGTAATGAATTTCTTGTTTTAATTACGGTACTTCACCCCAGGTTCAAAATTTTGTGATCTGAGAAAAATGGAGGTGTTCACAGAACTATATGTTCATGGTAGCAAGGAGAGGGGCGAAAGATAAATTATTTGTTAGAGGTAATCATAAGTTCATGGTACAGAAGTGACTGTGAAAACTGTGAGCATAGAAGTACCATTAAAAAATCAGGAATTCCAGTATTGTGAATTTCTGGCTGATTCTATCAATGCAATTTCCTACTGACACCCATAAAACAACAGACATGCATACAGTGGCTTGGGAAATTGAAGACAGGTAATGAGATAACCTTTTCTGGGACCTTTGACCTAACTTCCTGCCTAACTGTTTCAGACAAATGAAGCAAGTGGTGAGCCCACAGGACGACGAGTACTATCACAACCTGAAGAACAACGTCCAATCAGAGGAGCGCAAACCTATTGTGGTCAAACAACTCATCATCATGAAACCAACCGACCAACCACTGCCCATCCCCAACCACCAGCAAAAGTAGGTTTTTCATTGCCTTTCTGTTTGTGATATTTTGCAGTTTCCCTCACAAGTTTTTTTTAAACAGACAGATTTGTTTATTGATTGCTTCCAGCCCTTTTGCTCACATCATTAGCCAAAGTCAAACATTACATAGTATATCAAGCTTTTAAGTCAGAGCATCATTCTAAAATGTACAATCGAAACTGCCCAAGAAGGCTACTCAGATCCAATAAAATCTAGACAGGTGCTCTCTATTGACATCATTCTTCATACTTGTGTCCATAGGAAAAATTATCTTTATAGGGATCACCAAAAAGTGGTCATATTGGCCATGTTAGAGGAGGTTTGACTGTAATGGCATGTTTTCTACAGGACCAGTATCACCAGCAGGTCTCCCCCCAACACACCCTCGTCCCCAGAGCCTGCACCTGTACCTGTACCTGTACCCAACCCTGTGCAGCAGCAGATAGCTCAAGCAGCAGCGTAAGTATAGACTCCTGTATCAAGGTCATTACCATTTCACAAATATCTACCCATCTTCATACATGTATAGTCAACAAGAAATCAGAGATTCCAGGGAAGTATTTTGGGTTTTCGTGAATTTAAATGAACCTTTGAGGGGAATATTGTACAGCATTTCCTAAAGGCATGAAGATTGTTAATGTTTCAGGAATTTAGAAGTATTTGTGTGGCTGAGCTGTGGGTTTGTGTTTCTGTTTGTCCTAACTGAGTAGGTTGATAGCACATGGCTGGGGGAAGATTAACAGGCAGAATGATAGAAGGCCTAGGTCAAAAGGTCAGATCTTGACTCTGGAAACTGGTGTTGAAGGTCATGAAACCCAAAATTATTCCAGGAAGTCTGAAATCCTTGATTTCTTGTTTTATTTGTAAAACACATTTTTTCCTCCTTTTCTGTAGGAACAAGCCAGTCCTGAGAAAAGTGCAACAAGCAGTAGCAAAACAGAATGGAACGTCTGAGCCTGTCATATTTGACTTCCGCGGAAAACTGCGTAAAACCGGCATCCCGCTAACCCCGCATCCGGCAGAGGAGAGCAACGCGGTCGTACAACACGACTTCCGCGGGAACCTACGCAAGACAAGTCCTGAGGGAAACATGCGGCCAATGCAAGAAGTCGCATAACGAAACAACACATTGAAAGCTAGTGTTCAATAGTTAGGGACCAATTAGTTATATCACAGTGGGGTTGCAAATTTCATGACCTTTTAGTGTTTTTAAAAAATCTTCCAATGACAATGACAACTATGGTCTCAAAATTTAGTTATTGGAACAGAAAGATACTATATCATTTAGCTTAGCTCAATTGGTTTTCATAGAATTTTATAGCAATGTAATTGAGCTAGTCTTCCAACAATTTATTTTGAAGAAAGACACAATCCTAGGAAAAGATGTTTGTACTCAGTTTAAAGTGTGAATAGTAAGGGACTGCAAATCTTTATCAATATTAGCATTGAAACATTGATGACCTGCTCCCATTGTATTACATGTACATGTATTATCCTTTGCTTACACCTTGATACTGTAAATATTTAAACTATTGCAGTGGTTTTATTTCCAGAGTGACCTCTAAATCATGAATTAACAACTCTTTCAGTATATTTCCCCTTGTACGACTACTGTACTACAGAAATGTCTGAACTGCAATTCCGCAAAAAACTCTGATTTCGTCCTATCACTAAATAAAACCACCGCAAAAGTAAACACATTTACAGTATCAGTTGTAACTTTTTAGATCCTCCCCCACAAGTAAATTATGGGACTATGTAGGTACAGTACATGTATGTTGCTCTTATTCGGCACCCCTCTGTAGTGAATGGTGTACATGTCCGTGCCTTTCAGAGACTTTTCGTCTTTTGTACGATGTAGATCTTTCGGATATGCCAGATTTCCTGAGGTGTATCCCTCTCCTTTGATCATGAGGTCTACATAAGCCAATCTTTTATGCCGCGGTAGCAGGCGTCTCTGAGTATAGAAGAATCAAAAGGCCAATTTTTGTACATTTTGGTAGTGTGTTATGCTTTAGGTATCTAGATGGTGCATTAAAGGGCTTGAGAATAGGGCCTCTATTAAATGAATGTACTGCAAAATAGGACAGTCATTGTATATTTGTAACACTTCTGTGATCCGCCAAAAAAACAGTTACTCAGCAACTGGATATGATTTCGGTCAAACTTCTGTGGTTCGTGTGCCTCACCATTTGACCTGTCATTGTGCCTGTCAAACTTCCCCACCCGCATGCTGTCAACCTACTCTGTCTGGACAGACACACAACCCCACAGCTCAACAATGGTTTTAAAGTACAAGCTTCGCTCACTCGATGGTTCATTCAATGGCCAGACATTATGTCACCATAAACACCTCTGGATTCTGTACTATGTAATAGATTGTCTATTGATATATTTACAGTTAGATTCAGTCAGAATCCCTCTGAGAGGGCATCATATGAATTCTTGTTATATGTCAGAGTTGTTGAATTTGTAAAGAATGAATAATACACAAATAGATATTATCTTAGAAAATACCATTCATTAAGATTTGTACATATTGTATTTAATTCTGCCATAACTTCCAAGCAAGGTTTCAGAATGCTTTTTATGTTTGTCAAAATAGACTTATGATACTATGTTAATGAGAATATTTGTATTGTATGACACAGGAATATTAATGCCATATGCTGTATGTTTTAAAAAGTTTAGAACTTCATATTAAGTGCCAGTAGGCATCAGATGTTTTTGTGTGGAACTTTTAATTCCTATTTTGTTAGAACTGGTAGTTGCATAATGTCATATCAAGCCATGCTAATATAACATTATTTTCAATAGAATTCTATTAGTCTTACTGAATGAAGTTTGACAAATGAACTGTATATTTTGAACATTTTGGAAAAGAATGCTGTTCAGGCTTTTTATGTTATTTTCAGAAGTAAACTTGCAGAAATTTTAATTTTAGCTTTATCACAAATGTTTAGGAATAACGTTAAGTTGTATAAAAAATCTGTGCTTGTAACATTGGACTGTGAAGTTCACTATATCAACTTTGATATCATTGGGTGAAGTAATTCTTGACACCATTTTGTGTACAAAGTACAGCCAATCGTATCTAGTGTTACAAAGTCGCTTTAATTTTTGAATAAACACTGTCAGGTTTATATATAATACTGCAAAGCTGAATTGATATTGTCTGACTCAATGAACCTGTCAGAGAGGCTTTTTCGGCGCAATAAAACAATGAAACCTTTTTTTCGGCGCAATAACGCTGTTTCAATCCTTTTTATAGTGTTGAAATATGCATAAGAAGCCTAAAAACACGTATCAAACCCTACATCTGCTTGAAGATAAGCCTAAACAATCACGCGTCAATTTTGACCGTATATCTAGATTATGGTGGCTGCAGAACAGTATCAAAATGACCAAGTATTCATTGCCATTGGCCAGACAGTTACCGTAAAATTAAAAAGAGACAGTACAAAAACGCCTTAAAAACGTCAAAAATAAGCCTAAACATCTACTTGTAGAGTAGTACACAGCTTGCAGCTGCCTTCACCTTGGAATAAAAGAAAGAAAAACTACTGGTGTGAGACGGCGAAGCCCTTTCATGTCTGACACCCCTGGCAGAGGTGTGAATCTGGCGGAAGGCGTGGGGCTTTAGACAAATTCTCAGCCGCGCAGACAAACAATTGACAGCTCAAACAAAACGAGGTGATTATGGATCATCATTACCATCGTAGAGAAGTGCCGCCCTCTGCCCCTCCCTGAGTTGTTCGCGAGCGGTGACTTCAAACCCCGCACAATTACCGCCCCATACATTCGGCTTTGTCCGCCGTAATCTGAGCGTATTTGTCTTCGCCGCTTGGCGGCGCTTCAAGGCTCTTGTTGGACACTCATTGTTCTAAAATCCCCGCTTTGAAAAAACGCGACAAGTTCGGACGCTTGTCTGAAGGAAATTACCACTTTTTTCTGGCATGGGAAACGAAACGAATTTTGCATTGAATAGTTTGACTGATAATCGCATTTTTTCTACCTCTGTTTTCTAACTTTATTTTCGACAATCGATTTGAGCACTGTTGCAGACATCTACAACTCGTGTCATAATCTTACCACAAATCTTACCTAAAAGTAATAATTTCTTGTACTCTATTACATTAATAAAGTATTTCCAAAACGATTTCTTGCTCTCGTAGATGTACATTTTAAGGTGAACATTTTTGCTGAAAGTTTAAAACCTCCATAATTCCTAAAACCATCCTTGCTAAAACTATTAACGAAACACCCCTGTCTGGAATACACATCCGTTTTTCTTTATGCCAACTTCCTCCAAAATATTTGATAACCCACAAAACTTCGCTCCTTCTAAAAGAGAAGTAAAATGTCTCGAAGTAAAATAGGCTCTGTGGCTTCTGTGGCTGTATAAACAGGTCCTTTTGGTCCGCTTGTTTCTTGTAAACGCAGACGGCTGATCTGGTCGTGTTGACACTACGGCCAACACAGGCGTGCTACCCAGTGTTTGCGCTGGGCGGCGAACCTTTCAACTCATGTTGACCCAAGGACTGACGGCTAGGCTCGAAACCATCCGGGTTAGAGGATCTTCTGTCCGCTGGATTTTAAAACGTGTCGCTCATCAAAATTTACAACTAGACACTGAGAGAGAAAAGTGCATAAATCAGCAGGTTTTCTTTGGTAGTGTTTTAGACTGCGAGGCCCATTTCTAGTCTTGTTATATGATCTCAGGAAGCGATTTTTGGCTCATAGGCAAATAGCTTCACGAGATTGCTTTCCTAACAGAGTATAGCCGTTTGAAATATCTACTTTTGATTTGTAGAAACCTTACGGCCGTTTTGAAGTAGAGCATCGTTTGCCAAGATTTGAACGACGGGGTATGTTTTGACGTCTACAGTGTATATATACTTTATGCACAAAATAGAGACTTGTCTGTGTATTTTTGTACGGCCGACACCAAAGGTATGCGTCGGGACGAACTGTGGTGGGAAATGGGGCAGAAAACAGCACGTTTTCTCACTCCAGTGGGCATTTATTTAGACGTTTTATTGTGCCATTCCGCCACCCAGTGGCATGCCCGCCCCTCCAATCGAGCCGCCCGAAAAGGGCTTCCCCCCGCTCTTGCCCCCGGCTGCTCTCCGGGCACGATCAAAGGCGCCGCCCGTCAGATGGGAGGATAGAGTTCGCCGCTGCTGTGATTACTTTTGATTTGGCAAATAGCGAACTAGGATTACCCGCTGAGCCGCCCGCCCGACTAGCGGCACAGATGCCGCGGGTTGGCAAGCCGAGACACCGGCCATCTGGCACTGCCGTTTTTGTAGAACACTTATAGATATCCAACTCTAGCCTGTACTGCTACCTTCAGAAGTGGCTGGAAACTACGTTTTTATAGAACATCATATACTAGTATATCTATTTTGGCCTGTACCAAGGCTTTAGAAGCGCCTGGAAACAGTACGCTTTTGTAGAATACTACCATAGTTACAAGTTACAACTCTACGAAGGCTATAAAAGGCTGGACACTTTTTGTAGAACACTACCATCTAACTCTTGCCTCTACCAGGCTTCAGAGGGGGCTGGAAACAGTAGAATTAGGCCAAATATTGGAATAACTCTAGATGTCTAGAATTTTTACTTCTGAAGCCTGTTAGAGGTAAAATTCCCCTCGCCATGTGCTTAGTGCTAGTATTTGGCCAATTTCAACTTTTCCAGCCGCTCTTGATGTTGGAAACACAACACAACACATACCTACATATCTAACTCCATCTTAAGACACACATTTTCAACAACGACAAAGAGAAGAATTGATGTGAACATTCGGACGGTTTATTCATGAGAATAAAAGCAGTCAAAGGTAGAACTGTGTTATCTAGGTCAATACTTTGATAGTATTTTAAACTGGTACGTTGTGGTGGGTTTGTAGTGAATATATAGGATAGAAATTAGGTAGCAAATGCGATACATAGATTGTATTTTGTGTCATACTGTGAATATTGACTGCTAGAAAACGAACACAACTTAATAACACGTTACAAAAGGACCAAGTCCTCGCTCTCTTTCTTCTCTCACGTAACAAAAATATCACAAAATAACGTTTCTCTGGTTTTTCTTATCTTACATAAGTGGTCAAAAGGCTCTGTTTTGGTATATACAATATGTACAGTTTCTACAACATCTTCTAAACATCGCACTTCTATCGAAGGCTTTGTTTAGGGAGAACAGTTCATAGGGCAAGTCTTTGGCACTTGTAGTTACTCAGAGTTCATTTTCTAGTCTTCTTGTACGTCGATGTGTGTGTTCTGCTCGTTGTTTTCCACGTCAGACGATGTGAGACTGTCGGGGGAGTCTGGCTTGCCGGCCCGCTTCTGCGCGTGTGTTTTGACGTGCTTGGCGAGGTGGTCCGACCGCATGAAGCGCTTGCCGCAGTCGGGACAGGCGAAGCGCTTCTCCCCGGTGTGGGTACGGAGGTGCCGCTGGAGCTCGTCGGAGCGCGTGAAACTCTTCCCGCAGAACAACCAGTTGCAGACGAACGGTCTCTCCCCTGTGTGCCAGCGGAGGTGGGCCTTGAGGTGCGACGTCTTCCCGTACACCTTCCCGCAGCCGGGGATGTGGCAGATGTGCTGCTTCTTCTTGTTTGGGGACCCGGCGGTCGAGTTCTGGCAGTTCGGGCAGCGGCAGCGCCTGCACCGGCGGGCGGTAGCGATGGTCGGCTTCTGTAGAACCCCGGCTAACTGGGCGGGATACTGGCAAAGTTCGGCCGGGGAAGCCATGAGGGGAGGCCGCATGAACGAAGGGGCCATGTGTGGCTTCACGGACGGCTGGATGCTCCACCATGGCAGGGATTCCTCGCTACAGTGTGTCGGTGAAGAGGAGAAGCTTGTCGGGCTGGACATCACCGGGATCGGCGCCGAGCTGAACGCGGAAGAGGCGGTGGAGAGCGCCGGCGGGAGGCTGAGAGCGGGCGCGGCGTGGAGGTACCCGCTCTGTAGCTTCATCATGTCGTAGTGGAAGGACGGCGTCCCGGGCTCGGCTGGCGGTGTTAGCGGCAGCTCGTGCGTCCCGTACGAGGGCGCGACGTAGGTCGGAGCGGAGACCGTCACAGACGCGGCGGGCGTGAAGGAGGACATCGCCGTGGACCACGGGTGGAAGAGCCGGTGCTGCTCCAACTCGGACGGGACAGGACCGTTCCCGATGCGGCTACAAGTCGCTGCCAGCATGGCGAGAGGAGACGGCTTCTGAAGCTCAGCTCCGGGCTAGAATAAGAATAAGAAAAACACGGTTAAAATCATGTACAGCTCTACATTCACGAATTAGCCTAGGAATACTTCCAGCTTATGCGATTTTGCTTGGCTTCTCCACACCAAACATAACAAAACAAACAAAAACAAACCGCACTCCTAGCACTAAATCGATACAACACAAGGACAAACTAGCGGGGAACTTGGAAAAGGTCCAAACTACACTTGATAACACATAACATGTTATGAAAAAACATAAACCTATCACTGTTTAGGTTTACAACTCTACGTAGGTGCAAGAAACTTGGAAAGCTTACACAGAAAGTAGCGAAACAGGGCCAAACTTCAGCCAGATGTAATACAGTGGTTAGACCTGCGGATGTTTCAGTAACACTAGTTAGCAGAGCACATATCGGCCAAAATGGCACTGAAGAACACTGAAATGCGGACCACACATACAAGGCATTTGCCCTCTGTACAGCCGCACAGTCAGAGGCTCACACTGAGGTATTTTACGAGGAAACCTGCTATGAACATGTGTTACGTCTAAAAAATCACAAAATCGGACAAGGAATGACTTTTACCTGGTGGAAAAACTGCGTGTTCTGTGGGTAGGCGGCGAGTGCTGCGGCCATCGGGGTCGGGTGGACGTAGTGTCGGAGGACTGGCTTGTCGTCGCTCGGTGATTCTGTTCGCTGTAGGTCGGACTCGGGGACTGACTCTCAGCAAGATGCGGTCACGAGCGAGGGGCGGCTAATTGTGAACTTCTCCACCCCAAACGCAGCCTTTTCTGCATGCGGTGTGAAAAGGCGGTAACACAGACCAGACTTGCAACTCCCTTTGATCCCACCGCCAGCCAACCAGCGCGCGAGAAAATCTCTCTCATGTGTGCCGCCCGCCATTCATATGTGATCAGCGGGCGATTTAAAAGGAAATTCAATCCCTTCTATACACAGGGCTCCCGCGGCTTGTTTGTTGACATGTAGAATACTAGCGATTATTAGAGGGGTTGTCTTGGGCGGGACAAAGGCGGGTAAAAGAACGACCTAATCACTGGCCACGTAATCTATCTACATGCTAAATAGGGGCGAAGTCTTGATCAAAGGACCGAAGCCGATCGCCCCATATGGGGATTGGATCACTGGGTCACATGGTGCCACACACAATGCGACTATTGCATGCGGCTTTGTCCCTAAAACAGCTATTGTGTTATCGAACAGGGAAATCTGCTAATTTCTTCTGGCAGATACGAGGATTTGATAAAGAATGAAGATGTGACGGACCGACCCAGTAGGGCGCTTCGCACTTCAAGAACACACACGATAAAAAATTCCGAAAGTTTTTAATCTTTCGAAGTAACTCTTATAGTTATATTGAAATATTACGACAGATTTCAACTTCGTGATAAATTGTCTGAATAAAAGTACATGTTTCTGTGTAGTAGGGGTTTTAGGGATAAATTGTAAGCGTAAAATGCTGGAAATAATGACTGGGCTACTCCGGCCAACACGAGTGTTTAGTTTGGTGCGAGTCTTTCAAGTTTCCGCCGATGTGGACTGGCTTAGTGGGCGAACACAAAAGCCTTGTGGCTAAGTGGGAGAAAACGCTGGCGGAGAGAGGGATGTAGGGAGTTCTGTGTGCGTGTGTGGCCCGCTTCTGTCGTCTGTTCTGCCGAATGTGTCCGTCAGAAAAGGTCCACGAACTGCCCCCGAGCTCGCGACTGCTGGATTCACTTACCGGCTGGAGTGTAAAAATAAAATGGGCGAATTCCGGGAGAGGGCTCCCCGCGGTGGGGCGGGGAAGATCAAACGGCTAGGGCCAACAATCTTGTAACTGCCCCGCCCAGGCCCGCCTTTGACCGCCTCCGCCGCCCTCCCTCCACTCAGCCGGATAATTTACATTACACATACCGATGGCTTCCTGCGCTGCCCCCCAATAATTGTCGGGCTGCCCCCCTGCAAACAATATGCACAAGTTTACAAAAATGACATGTCCTCAAGCTGTGTTGGGGGCAGGCAGACGACATTGCCTCAGATCTTGCGCGCCCCGAAATCATTTCTTTCGCCGCTCAATTAGGCGTGAGGATCCCCTTTCCCTGACAGCTTCTGCCGCGCTGTGATTTATTTGCACTCGCCATACCGGGTCGGGCGAGGATCCCACCCGAGCAATCGCCCCTAAACCTCCCAAAAAGTGCCGAAATACCCCAATTAAACTCCAACAACACCTAAATCTACCCAAGGCGGGAAAAAAACGAGGGAAAGGAGCTTGTTTTGACAGAATCAGACGGTCGGCTGAGGGAAAACCAGACGCGTTCGCAGCTGCTAGACTGGGGGTCAGGGGATGGCAAGCGAGTCCATATGCGGCCGGGCTCTCGGCGGAGCTCGTGTTTACGTTTTCGGCACTGATCAGAGGGAGTTTGGCCCCGGCCACAGATGAGAAACCCATCATCGGTAAATGACACTGAACATAGCGCCCTGATCGGCTTTCTCCCGCACACACAGGGCCAACACATTGGCACAAGCTGTCTGTTCGGGGCGGCTTTACCAGATAAATACGACTTGTGCTGCTTGTCACGGAAACTTTAGTGGGACACGGACGCAGCGGATTTCTGGAACATTTTGAAAATAAACGGGAAAGCTTCTTAAAATTACAAAAGAATGTATCTGAAGTTAGAAACGTATACATATTACTTTTCACGTTTTTTGGCTTATGGACAATGATTTTGTTTTGTCCTATCCTGTCGGATTTTAGTTGCTTCTAATGAATGTTTTGTCTCAATTTTGTTTTGAGGAAAGCTGCATCCTAAAGAAGTAAAATCGAACTTTTCTGAACGATAATTCTAATACACTTCGAAGTAATAATAATAATAATAGTTTATTGACAACAATCCTTGTACATGGCAGCGTTTAAACCGCTGAATTGCGTACACAGGTTTAAAAACAATTAAACAATAAGGTGGGCTAAACAAACAAAGGACATTGACAAACTAGGTACAAACAACTTAAACAAATACTAGCTGTACGCAGTTATAAATTAGATATATAAGTGATTAAAAACAATATTGGTCCGGTACTGGGAGATTTCAACGTAGGTCTACTTGTTTATTTAACAAGTCAGTGAAATAGGGGATTGGGCTCGTTTTGTACCGCTTTGTTTTCGTCAAAGGGATGTCGAGTTGGTTTGCTCCCTTCAGGCATCTGCCATGGATGTCTGAGCGGGATGGGGGTAACCAATGTCGGAACGAAGGGGAGTTAAGGAGGGACTTTGCAAACTTAAGGCTAAGGGTTTCTCTTCTTTTCTCTAGGGACGGCAAACATAATTGGGACAGGGCGATGTTGTAAGACGTGTACAGGGGGCCAGGGATTATCTTTACTGCTCGTTTTTGTATGCGTTCGATTTTTATTACTTGATGTACAGAGATACTTGAATTCCAAACTGGGGCCGCATATTCAAGGGTCGGGCGTATGTATCCTTGGTAGAAATCGCAAAAGGTCTTGAACAGGGAGTCCGGAATGTTTCAGTTTCTTCAGCCAGAAAAGACGTGAGCTCCCTTCTTGTTATAATTTCAATATGTTTGTCCCATTTCAGGTCCCCCGAGAGCCATAAACCGAGAATACAGGCGGATTCGGTATATATAAGGGGCTTATTATGAAGTGTTAGTATTAGGGGGTGGGGGACAGTCTCTCATAAAGGAAAAGGTCATGAGCATACACTTCTCGTCATTTAGCTTCATGTCATTATTAATTGCCCAAGAGTCTAGTCGGTCCATAGATGATTGAATTAGGCTCGCTTCACAGAAAAAGTCTGCTCTCGCATAACGACAGGTCATCTACGTATTTATAACGATTTAGAATGTCATCTTGTAAGGCGTCATTGGCATATATAAGAAAAAGAATCGGCCCCAATTTAGTGCCTTGAGGCACTCCAGATGAGATTCCCTCCCAATTTGAGGATTTGGTACGGTATCGGACGCACTGGCTACGGTTTGTAAGGAAGCTACATATCCAAGGCATAATTGACGCCTTACCCCACATGTCAACATCTTGTTAATTAGCTTGGTGTGGTTTATCCTATCGAATGCTTTACTGAAATCAGTTATTAGTAGTGTTTGAACGCTTTTAGGGGTTTCAGCACCAAGGACTACGTAGTTAATTAAACTGGTTAGATAATGGACCGTAGACCTCCCTTTCCTGCTTCCAAACTGATTGGGATCTATCACTTTGCCTATGTCCTGAAGAATCCACTTAACGATGTAGGATTCAAATGTCTTTATAAGAATGGAGGTCAGGGATATTGGTCTTAATGTTTCGAGAGAGGCTGGTATCTTCTTAGGAACTGGGGTTATAATTGCTTGTTTCCATTGAGTAGGGACATATCCTTCATCTAAAGATGAATTAAATATATGAGATAAGACGTCACTGAACTCAGCCGCGTACATTTTAACAATTTTGGGCGGTAAGTCATCCGGACCACTACTTTTATTAGGGTTGAGTCGTTTTAATGTTTCGTACAACTCCCATGGCCAAATTTTGGTGGTTTTGAGGGGGACGGTAAGTATGAAGGTATTGAGGTCAGATCCAAGGGGGGTAAATCATTCACAATAGAGGAAAAATGCCTATTAATTATATTTGCTGTGTCTTCTTCATTTGCATGAGGGTCATTGGGAAGATTAATAGACACTGGTGGTTTACGAGAATTTAACATTTTACGGAGAGAACTATGCCACTTAGCAGGGTTATCTGTCTTAAGATGTTTTACTTTGGAGACATAGTGTTGCTTTTTTGCTTTTGTACATAGACGAATAACCTTATTACGTAGACTTCGATAAAGTGTCATGTTTCCAGTATGAAATGCATTTTGACGTCGTTTTATTGTAGATTTGATTTGGGCAGTTATCCACTGTTTGTCAGTGTTGTGTTTAACTATAGATTTATAGGGAAAATGTTTATTTATTTGGACATGTAGTATGTGGTAAAATTTGTCTATTTTGCTTTGGACATCTGGGGCATCGATGACTTCGGTCCACGGGTAGGCCGAAATCCAGCGTCCGAAGGATCGGACGTTGGAATCTCTCATTTGTCGGGAGGTGGACGTTATTTTCCTGTTGCTCGGCTTATGGTCTTTGGGCATCCATATAACAGTATTGTGATCACTAAGGCCGAGGGGCTCTTCAATACGGGGATTTAAATAGAAGGACTTCAAATTTGATATTATTAAGTCAAGCACAGCCTCACCCCTAGTAGGCTGATTTACTACCTGTTCGAGCTGACCATTTATAAGACTTTTGATCTCAAATCTGTTGAAGTCTCCCATTACACAGATCCCCACTTGTGGGTATTTTGTACTAATCTTATCAACGCTGTCAATCAAATATTTGGCTAACATGTCCTCGTACATCGAGTTTGGAGGATTGTAGACAACACAAATGGCAATGTTTGTAATTCGACGCGGTGTCCAAAACGGTTTAACTAATATCCATAAACATTCTAGCTCTATAGGTGTTTCAATAAAATCAATAACTTCCACAGGTATTGTTTCTCTAACGTAAATGGCAACGCCGCCACCACGACTGGTGCGACATTTAGAGAACAGACTAGAGGCCAGGTGGTACGCTTTGTCCGTTACCAGGTGAGCGGGATCCTTGTTGTTGTTTGTACCGGCATGGAGAAAGACAGTACTCGGCTTTTCTCTTTGGACGATCCTCAGGGCAGATGGAATGAGCTGTTCTACCCGCGCCCCACGGTGAGTAAAGCACCTGACGTTCTTCTTCCTAGACATCTTGTTACCCTTTAGGTGTTTTATCATAGAGTCACCTATAATAGCAGTACCTCCTGCAGATTTTGTGTTGTAGAACCGA